GAATCTAGCAGATGGCCACAGCTGCTTGGATGGTGGCAGCAGAGGCTGGCCTTGAGAAACTTCCCACCGTGATTGAGTACCCTGCTGAAGGGAGTAGGCAACCACACATATTGAAGGGTAAATACAGCAGGGCCCAGGGCCTCACCAGGGATGTGCTGGTAGGGTAATATTGGTGGTAGGCCCCACTTGGGGGTGGAGTTATGGCTGGAAAGGTTGATTTCAGCAAGGGATGAAACCAGTCAGAGTTATGAAAGCCCAACAAGTCTGGATTAAGACACCCCCGTCCCAGCATCCAGACAGGAGGCACAAGAAGATGACGCAGAGGGTGTTATAAACTTCCTCCTTTCATGGTCTGAGGTCCCTTCTTTTTTTAAAAAAATATATATTTTATTTATTAGGTTTTGTTCCTTTAAACTGATATCATATACTTCAAGAGAATAATACAGCTATAAACAATAACAAGTCTAACAGCAACAAATCTACTGTAACAGCCAAAATCAGCAGTTCTAGAACTAGGTTCAGGAGTAAAACAGGTTCTGATAATATCTATTGTTAGGTAAGAAGTCATCTTGAGCTAAATAATCTACCACAGGATACCATATAGCTTGAAAGGTACGTGTATTATTATTTGTAGTAAGAGCAGCATTTTGTGAAGCAATTTTCCCTAACAGGAAGTGCTCCCAGAGTTTGGTCTGAGGTCCCTTCTGAAGGGGCATGGGGGAATTGCCCAGTACGGAAGCTTACAAAGAAAAAGAGGATAAGTAACAAAATGCATATGAATGCCTCTGCCCTTATAAAATCCCCTTTCTCACATGCGAATGTTGGTATCTATCCACAACACAGATTTCCCAACATTAGTGCAAATCCAGCGTTTTCCTGTCAGTGCTCATCAACAGTTACCAAGCTGTTAAAACCTGTGATGATAACATAATAATTCCTTTACATTCCATTAAAACCGTTGATTCCCTAAAGATGTTTTGTTTGTTTGAGTCTAATTCTTTAACAGTTCTAGACTCCTGGGATCTCTGCATTACCACCTATGAATCCAATTCTGCTGGCCCATCCCAGGACAACTCATGTTTCTTAAGGCTATGTTGTATAACTCCTTTCCCCTATTCAAACACTGCCATCAAAATCCGTAACACTACAAGAAAATCAGACTACTGCATCATCCCCCAACCTCCCTCATCCCTATACACTTTTGAAAAGCCAGTCAAGAGAGAAAGAAATTTAGGGTTCTGGCCTTTATGCTGAAGCCTCACTAACTGTCACTACGATATGACTTACAATACATACAAACCTACTAAAAGTCAAGTGTGTGTGCTCATGTGTGTATATATATTTAACTATTCATATGCTATCATTAAATGAATGTTACTGAATGAACGCCCCCTCATGGATCACTGCCTTGTCATGGCGAGGAAGCTTGCGTGGTTCAATGAGGCTGTGGGCTATGCTGTAGAGGGCCACCCAAGACGGATAGGCCACAGCAGAGAACTCAGACCAAGTGTGATCCCCTGGAGAAGGAACTGGCAACCCACTCCAGTATTTTTGCCAAGAAAACCCCATGGACAGTATCAAAAGGCTAAAAGATATGACGCCGGAAGATGAGCCCCTCAGGTCGGAAGGTGTCTAATATGCTACTGAGGAAGAGCAGAGGGCAAGTACAAGTAACCCCAGAAAGAGTGAAGCGGCTGGGCCAAAGCCAAAAGGACGCTCAGTTGTGGATGTGTCTGATGGTGAAAGGAAAGTTCGATGCTGCAAAGAACAATACTGCATAGGAACCTGGAATGTAAGATCTATGAATCAAGGTAAGCTTGACGTGGTCAAAAATTAGATGGCAAGACTGAACATTGATATCTTAGGAATCAGTGAACTAAAGTAGACAGGAATGGGCGAATTTAACTCAGAAGACCATTATATCTATTACTGTGGCCAGGAATCTCGTAGAAAAAATGGTGTGGCCTTTATAGTCAACAAGAGAGTGCAGGGGTCAGTACTGGGATACAATCTCAAAAATGACAGAATGATTTCGGTCCGATTCCAAGGCAAACCATTCAACATCACAGTAATCCAAGTCTATGCTGCAACCACTGATGCAGAAGAGGCTGAAGTGGACCGGTTCTATGAAGACCTACAACACCTCCTAGAACTAACACCAAAAAATGATGTCCTCATCATCATAGGGGACTGGAATGCTAAAGTAGGAAGTCAAAAGGTAACTGGAATAACAGACAAGTTTGGCCTTGGAAAGCAAAATGAAGCAGGGCAAAGGTTAACAGAGTTTTGTCAAGAGAACACACTGGTCATAGCGAACACCCTTTTCCAACAACCTAAGAGGCGACTCTACACATGGACATCACCAGATGGGCAACACCGAAATCAGATTGACTATATAATTTGCAGTCAAAGATGGAGAAGCTCTATCCAGTCAGTAAAAACAAGACCTGGAGCTGACTGTGGTTCAGATCATGAGCTACTCATTGCAAAATTCAGACTTAAACTGAAGAAAATTGGGAAAACCACGAGGCCATTCAGGTTTGACCTAGATCGCATCCCTGATGAATATACAGTAGAGGTGAAGAATAGATTCAAGGGTCTGGATTTGATAGATAGAGTGCCTGAAGAACTATGGACGGAGGTTCGTGACATTGTACAGGAGGCAGCAATCACCACCATCCCAAAGAAAAAGAAATGCAAGAAAGCAAAGTGGCTTTCTGATGAGGCTTTACAAATAGCAGAGGAAAGAAGGAAAGCGAAAGGCAAAGGCGAAAAGGAAAGATTTACCCAACTGAATGCAGATTTCCAGAGAACAGCAAGGAGAGATAAGGAGGCCTTCCTGAATGAACAGTGCAAAGTAATAGAAGAAAACAATAGAATGGGAAGGACTAGAGATCTCTTCAAGAAAATTGGAGAAATCAAGGGAGCGTTCCATGCAAAGCTGGCCATGATAAAGGACAAAAACGGTAGGGACCTAACAGAAGCAGAAGAGATTAGGAAAAGATGGCAAGAATACACAGAAGAACTATACAAGAAAGACCTCGATGTCCTTGACAACCACGACGGTATAATCACTGACCTCGAGCCAGACATCCTGGAATGTGAAGTTAAATGGGCCTTAGAAAGCATTACTAACAACAAAGCTAGTGGAGGTGATGGTATCCCAGCTGAGCTATTCAAAGTCTTAGAAGATGATGCTGTTAAAGTTCTGCACTCCATTTGCCAGCAAATTTGGAAAACGCAACAGTGGCCACAGGATTGGAAAAGATCAGTATACATTCCAATCCCAAAGAAGGGCAATGCCAAGGAATGTTCAAACTATCGCACAATTGCACTCATATCACACGCTAGCAAGGTCATGCTCAAGATCCTACAAGCTAGGCTTCAACAGTACGTGGATAGAGAACTACCAGAAGTACAAGCTGGGTTTCGAAGAGGTAGAGGAACGAGAGATCATATTGCCAACATTCGCTGGATTATGGAGAAAGCAAGAGAGTACCAGAAAAATATCTACTTCTGCTTCATTGACTATGCTAAAGCCTTTGACTGTGTGGATCACAACAAACTATGGCAGGTCCTTAAAGAGATGGGAGTACCAGACCACCTCACATGTCTCTTGAGAAACCTGTATAAGGGCCAAGAAGCGACAGTTAGAACCGGATACGGAACAACTGATTGGTTCAGCATAGGAAAAGGAGTACGACAAGGATGTATACTGTCACCTTGCTTATTTAATATATATGCAGAGTACATCATGCGAAATGCTGGCCTGGATGAATCACAAGCGGGAATTAAGATTGCTGGGGAAAAGATCAACAACCTCAGATATGCAGATGATACCACTCTAATGGCTGAAAGTGAAAAGGATCTAAAGAGCCTCTTGCTCAGAGTAAAAGAGGAGAGCGCAAAAGTGGGCTTGAAGCTCAACATCAAAAAAACTAAGATCATGGCATCCGGCCCCATCACTCCTTGGCAAATAGAAGGGGAAGCTGTGGAAGTAGTGACAGACTTCACGTTCCTGGGATCCCAGATCACCGCAGACTGTGACTGCAGCCATGAAATTAAAAGACGCCTGCTCCTTGGGAGGAAAGCGATGGCGAACCTAAACAGCATGATAAAAAGTAGAGACATCACCCTGCCAACAAAAGTCCGCATGGTCAAAGCAATGGTATTCCCAGTAGTCATGTATGGCTGTGAGAGTTGGACTATAAGGAAGGCCGAGCGCCGAAGAATAGATTCTTTTGAACTATGGTGCTGGAGAAGACTCTTGAGAGTCCCTTGGACTGCAAGAAGAACAAATCAGTCAATCCTCAAAGAAATCAACCCTGACTGTTCCCTGGAAGGCCAGATAATGAAACTGAAGCTCAAATACTTTGGCCACCAAATGAGAAGGGAGCACTCACTGGAGAAGACCCTGATGCTGGGAAAGATTGAAGGTCAAAGAAGACGGGGACGGCAAAGGATGAGATGGTTAGACAGTGTCATAAATGCAACGAACATGAAATTGAGCAAACTTCAGAGGACGGCGGAAGACAGGAAGGCCTGGCATGATCTGGTCCATGGAGTCGTGAAGAGTCAGACTCAACTGTGCGACTGAACAACAACAACTGAATGAACGTAAGACACAAAAATATTAAAATTATTCTTATCAAAATGCTTATTTTTATAATAACTATATAGTTTTGGAAACCACAGGTGAAATGATCAGAGCAAAGGAATAGTCAAGATGTCAGTTTTCAAAGAGGCAAGATGAACGATTCAACTCAGCTGCATGAGTTTCTCATTGAAGATCAGAGAATTAACAGGACCCCGGAGGTCCCTTCCAACTCTGTCATTCTATGACATCTCATGCCTTCCCATAACTAGGTTTTCCATGTCTTCATAAACAGGAGAAATCTCAGACACTTAGTCCAAGTCAAGGTGGTTTATATAGAAGCTACCACCCAGGAGCTATGGTATTAGGTGGTATATCTGGTAATAAATGATACATGTTTACTTACCTCAACTATTTCTAAAAGTTCAGGTTTGTCTATACAACCATTCCCATCTTTATCATATATTTTGAAGGTCCATCTTAATTTGTGTTCCAGCTTTCCGCGTAAAACAAGATTTAAGGCAGCCACATATTCTAGGAAGTCAATGGTGTTATCCTGTGGGGACAAAACAGGAATTTAATTTGAAAAACTCTAGTAATTTCAGCTTCCTTCAACTGGCATATAGACTAGTGTCCATTTATCACTTTGGTGATCCTACAGAATAGTCAGCACTTTATTTGTTTTCTTGGAGAAGGGGCAAAATGGATTTTACTATATTCTGTATTTTTATTTAAAAAAATTGGAATGGTAAACTGACTTGAGCCACAAGGAAACAAGTACCAATATTGAAATACATTAATAAATAAGACTAGTCATAACCAGTTCAGACATTTGTAAATTGCTGCATGCAATTTACAAGTATCTTTGGGGATCAAGCCACAAGAAACCATTCCAAAGTCAACCGTCCCAGAAACTGCCATCACTTTCACAATTCATGAGTGTTTCATGTTGCTTTACCCACACAAACTGCCACTGTACAAAAGCAGCAACATCCATGGAAATGCTAGATCAGGTTTTAAATTTATGCTTGATTGGGTTTTATTACCCAATCAATAATAATGGTTTTATTATTTATTGTACTGTATTATATTTGTGTACGCCGCCCTGAGCCGGCCTTGCTTGGAGGGCAGGGTAAAAATCTAATAAATAAATAAATTACATTCTCAATGCAAATGGCTCCTCAAGTACACTTAGGATGCTTCACATGGAACAAGTTATTACCATTTGATCTAGGCTATGGGACACGTAAAGTCAATACTATTCACTGCAGCAGTTCTACTTTCTGGCTTGTTTATCAGATTGTTTTTATAGCAGTATACATTTCCATCTGTACACTGGTGTTCTGCAACTTTACATCCTCACAGTTTGCTGGTGACCATCTTGATCTAGTGGGAAGGAAAACATCTTAAAGCAACAATTCAGAGAAACTTGCAAGTTTGCTTGACCTTTGGACCCATGGTCTCTATGCCAAGCTAGAGAAGTGTGATTTTCATTTGCACTCTGTTGTGTTCCTCAGTCACATTATATCCCTGCAAGGGATACTCATGGACCCAAAAAAGGTGGAAGCCATTCTGACCTGGCAGACCCCTCGCACCCGCAAAGATGTGCAAGGGCTCCTTGGATTCACCAATTACTACTGGCAGTTTGTCCCCGCCTACGCCTCATTAACCACCCCGTTGACTCAGTTACTTCGGCCCAAAGAACCGTTCCACTGGACCCCCGAGGCCGATCACACCTTCGCAGTCCTGAAGTCCTGCTTCGCATCCGGGCCATTGCTGCGCTACCCAGATCCTCAGCTCCCTTTCACGGTAGAGCTGAGGAATTCCAACCTTCCTCTGGTAATTTCACAACCTCTCCCCTTTCCCTCTTTCCTTACCTCTTTGTGTTCCCCATCTTCATCTTCAGCTTCCCCTCTTCTTTCCTGCTCTCCCAACGACCTACCTTTTTCTCTTTCTCCCCCAGCAAACTCTGCCCCCTACCTCTTTAATGTACCTTTGTCTGTTTCACTCCCCCATCTTCAGGGTCCCCTCTTTACCTTTTCTGCTCCACCCCCTCTAGCTTTACCTTCCTTTCCATCTGTCATTTATCCCTTGACTCTCTCTCCCCTTTGCTGAAGGAAATCCTTGGGAATTTCCGTCTAGGAAAGCCTAGGAATCCATGGGAATGTTGGTTGGTGCTTGCTGAGCAACCCAAAAAAGTGGCTGCCAAGATCTCACAACATAGTCCCACAAGATCTCAGTGGCACACTTTTCTAAGGGAAGCAGACATTATTTCTATTACCTCCTGGGAGAAAATGGCTGCTTTGGAGGGTGGACTCTGTGGTATCATACCCAGCTCAGGCCACTCCCTTCCCCAAACCCAGCCCTCCTCCTTAGACTCCACCACAAAACCTCTCGGAATTCCCCAGCCTGGCACTGACAACCCTTGTCAGGCCTGGCCCCAAGGCTCCCTCCCTCAAAGGCCACAATAAGCCTAGAAAGGGCCCTTCTCCCTCCCCCTGCCTTTTACTGACATAGAAGCCCCCTCTGAATGTTCTAATCTCACACCATTGATGCCTGAAGTAGATCCCTGTGGAGACCATTTCAAAAGATACTGGGGGCTATACAGCCCTCCCCAAGTTGTTTTTTTTTGGGGGGGGTTACTTTTTGGATTTTTCTGCAGACCCAGGAAGTCCCTTGAGTCTGTAGAAAAAGCTGTTCGGGGGGAGTTTCCAGTTTTGGCGTTCGCTATGGCAGTTGCTCTCCTGGACCTCCGGGAGACGATTGCCAGAACCCATGGCTAGGAGGGGGTGCGATTGTCCGCATCCCCTATGGACCCGTTGCTGATGGGTTCCAAGCCATGGGGCGCTAGACAGCTTCTCTGCCGGCAATCCTGCCTGTGAAGGGGGGGCCATCCATGCCCTGACGGTCCTGCCGTGGAGTTTCCAGATGGAACTAGAAGTGCACACCAGATCAAGCACCGGGTGATCTAGCGATTTGGCAACATAAGCAAAGTGGAAATTGTCTAATCATTGAACTGTGAGTTAAGTTGAAGCGAGAACACTGAAAAGAGCTAAAGCCACCCTGCGGGAAGCAGGGGGGGAGGGGACTCTCCTCAAATAAGACAGACTTAAAGCGAATTCTATCGTTAAAGCAGGGGGGCAGGCTTTCAAAGGGAAAAAGACTGAAATAAAAGACTTTTAAGAACTTACCAAGCGTAAATGAGAACTTTAGAGACTGTGATAATTTTTGACGAAAAGTAAACAATTCCTCAAAAATGGCGCCTCCTACGAGGCAAGAGGAGAAGGAGAAGATAATGAAAGCTAAGGCTACCGGAAGTGCCAGCCCAGCGAGTGTTGCGCCCAGACAGGACACAAACTCAGACCTTCAAAGGATATTAAATGAAGCACAGAAGGAACGTCAGAGATAAAATTCTTAAAGCGGCTAATGGAGTAACCCTGAAAATCAAGGGCAAAGAGATAATGTTCTTAAAGGGTATTCCATTTGAAATAAGGAAGAGAAAGTGCAAATATAAAGACTTGGTCGCATTTCTACAAAAGAAACAAATTGTCTACAGATGGATTCTGCCTGAAGGACCCATCTTTAAGTTTGTGAATGGAAAAGAAAAAATTGACACAGTGAAAAAAGTAAATGAATTCCTGCATCTTCATAGTCGTCCAGTAGAAGGAAAAGAAGAAGAAAAAGACAGCCCCAAGAAGGATGGTGGAGATGGAACGAAGCCATCTTCTGGTGAAGAATCAGACTCAAACTTTGGGGCAGCAGCCCCAAAACGAGGCTATAAATTGAGGAAGCCAAAGGAGAAAAAATGATTTGTTATTATAACTCTGAAGTTTTTTAAAAAATGTTTAAAATAAGCTTTCTTGGGCTTTTTATGAAGTTATAGTAGACGATGTTTAATTTTGAGTGGAAGTTTAATAGAAAGATGATGAACATGTTCAATTATTTCATACGAATACCTAGCTATATAAGCTTGTAACCTTGTTAAAGCAATTTGTATGACACCCAATCTTGGGTTTTTAGAGGTTTCTTTTCTTTATCCCTGTAGTTTGTAGACCCTCCCTTATTTTTTCATGTAGTGTTTATAGAAAATGCAATTAAAAAATCCCCTTCGGGGGCCAAAAAAAGAAAAGAAAAGAAAAAGCTGTTGGGGGAGAGTGAGTCATCTGTTGGCAGAAAGAAGTATCCATACAGAGAACAGAGTTTGGGAAACAGTATATAGATGATGATATTTTACTGACAAGGAATTTCTTCCCAAGTATTAACACAAATCTGTTTGTTGTTTCTCCTGTCCTTGGTATAGTGAGCAGTTGTCTCACGTCTTCTTTTTTACATTATTTTAAAAATCCAGAAAGAGTCATCATACTCCCTTGCTTCCTCTTAATATTCAGTTCTCCCAGCATGTTTTAGAACCATGGCTGGCTCTTGCAAGTGCAATTGCTACAATGGAATGGAGATGTGGTACAGAAAGGTAGCAGTTATAATGTTAAACCAAGATATGGGAGATCATGATTCAAATCTCCACCTTGCTGGGTGATCTTGGGTCAGTCACTCTCTTAGCATCACCTGTTTCATGAGGAGAAAGGGAGAAAGTAGAACCATGTCCAGTACTTTGATCTACATGGGGAAGGACAAGACACAATGTGACAGATAGTGACAGACATCTACATGAAACCACTGGGAGAGACCATTGGGGAGTTTGGAATAAGGTGCCACAGATATGCAAACTACACCCAGCTCTACTTCTCCTTAACAGACGAGTAAGGTGGTCTGTAGAAGTCCTGAACAGGTCCCTAGAGATGAAGGCCACTAAACCAAAGTTCTATCCAGACAAGAGTGAGGTACTGCTGATCAATGACAAAAGCTGCTTCAGGACTGAGGAGCCAGCCTGATCTGGAAAAGGTTGCACTCCCCTGAAGGCCCAGATCTCCTCTGTGGCACAAAGTGCTTTTTATCAGCTTTGGCTGGTTTGCCAGCTATGGCCATTCCTCAAAAAGCGTGATCTGGTCACAGTGATCCATGCCCTGATTACATCCAGGTTAGATTACTGTAATGTGCTTTATATGGGGCTACCTTTGGAAACTTCAGCTTGGTCAGAATACAGAAGCCAAACTATTGTCAGAGGTGCGATACAGGGACCATATTATCTCAGCGCTGAAGATCTCTGCTGGCTGTTCGTTTGTTTCCAGGCATAATTCAAAGTGCTGTTTCTTAGCTTTAAAGCCTTCTTACGGCCAGGGCAACTGAAGGATTGCCTCCTTCCATATTGTTCAGCCTGCCAGTTAAGATCTGCCTCACATGGCCAGCTCTCTGTGCCCTTGCTTTCAGAGGTGAGGCAGGTGGCGACCAGTGATGGGGCTTTTTTACTAGCAGCAACTCACTTATGGAGCATCCTTTTCCTTGAGGCTCACCTGGCACCTACATTGCTTTTTTCTAGGCTCCAGGCTAAAAAAAATTCTCTTCACCTAGGCTTTTAATTATTTTAGTCTGGTAACTGTTATTTTTCTCCTGCCAACCTAGCAGTTCGAAAGCAAGAAATTGCAAGTAGATAAATAGGGACCACTTCGGAGGGAAGGTAACAGCGTTCCGTGCGCCTTGGTGTTTAGTCATGCTGGCCTCATGACCACGGAAACGTCTTCGGACAGCGCTGGCTCTTTGGCTTTGAAACGGAGATGAGCACCGCAACCCTAGAGTCGGATTCGACTGGCTTTCGAGCAAGGGAACCTTTACCTTTACCTTTTAACTGTTATTTTAAGCTGCCAGGGGTCTCTTTTTATGGTCTACATTATTATGCTGGACTGGGTCTTTCTTTCTTTCTTTCTTTCTCCTCTGACCCAAAGATCTTGAGTAGTATTGATCTACCCCAGCTAAGAAAAAAAGGAAGAAAGGAATAATTCAAACCAGAGAGGACAAGCTATACTATGTTAGAGAAGGTGTCTTATCTTAAGCTGCCCAAACTCTCATGGCCTAAACAAGGGACTTAACAAAAAAAAGGGGTATTTGCTGGCCTAGGACCATTAAAATTTTAGTAACTAAAATGTCTGGGGGAGGCTTGTTTTGCTAAGGCATAAGTGGCTTGATCCCTTTCTCTCTAGCCTCCTTATACCATGGACACTAAAAAAAAAAAATCCTTCACAGCTTCTATGATCCCTAAAGCCAGAACTGCAATCTGAAAACGGTGCACCTAATTTACGGCCTTCAGAGACTGCAGATGATAGCGCATTTAATCTTGCGAGCATAATTGCTTGTATCTTGGAACTGTAAGGCTAAACAAGTATTTTGGGATGGTAAAGAGTGGTGGATTTCCATGTGGAGAGAAGAGCAAACACGTCTAGCCTGGCAGACTGGGTTTTAAATGCTGAATTTTAATTAATATATTTTAATGTTTTGTATGTATTATCTTGTACGCCACCTCAGGCAGGTTCCTGGAAAGGAGGCATAATTTTTTCTAAATAAATAAATGATAGATAGGTAAGCAGAACAGGTTGCATATAACTATAATGATTAAATGGGGAAGAGAGAATTACACTTATTGCCCTGAGCACCTAGGAGGAAGGGAGGTACAAAAATACATTAGACAGATAGGAAAACAAAACTGGTAGCATATAATTAAGTTGAAAACTAATTGGCAAGGGAGAGTCTATTTAATTTCTTTTATGTCACTACCTATTAGCCAGTGGCCACAAGGATTCTAAAATAAATTAGCGGCCTATTTTGCAATAGCTCTCACAAAATGTAGCACTAACGTGTCAAACAGAACCAAAACTGATGGAGGCTAAAATGAGACTGCAGCTGGTTACCATCCTTTTTGCCATTCACCTCAGGGTTAATGTGGTGATTTTAGGTTATGTTTCACTTGCTTCTTCAATCATTTGTTTTACTTATTATAAATTATGAACTTTTGCTTCCGCTTTTGGTTGATTCAGTTGCAAAATGCCTTCTTAAATCTATTTGCTGATCAACACTAACCAGAATAGTACCTTATGACACAGCCTCTGTTTAACATAGGCCCATCACACATGCGCATCTTACTGCAGATTTTCAGAGCAATAAGCCTTTAATCTTGACTTCAGATTCTATGACCGCCTTATGCAACATTCTTTTTCCTCTGGTGAATACCACACAAATTTGCAAGGAAGGGCAGGAAATTAGCATTACTATGCAGCTGCGCTAAGGCATCGGCGAAAATATAACCCCCCCCATTTTTTTTCAATTTAGTGGCACAAGACTAAAAAAGCTCTCCAGACCTTCTGCCAGAGGACTCCTCCCCCATGCAAAGTGTGGTGAAGTTGCAGCTGACTTTGCACAGGTGCGCGCGCACACACACACACGTTGCCAATGATCACAGCTTGCAATGCCAGTGGCTCCTACCATGCATTCTGTACACTCAACATGTTTCTTCATATTATAAGAGTGTGTGGCTCTTTCCCATTTTTCACAGTGACTGATAACACAGCAGAGAACCCCCTAGTGCTCAGCCTAATGGAAAATGGGGCTTCGCAGCTGCTTGCCAGTTTCAAAAAGTGGGTACTTGCTGGACTCTACTGCGCAGCTGCAATAGGGCAATTGCATAAATTTTTTGGGGGGGGGAAACACAAACCTTTGGACACCACCCCTCACATGTCACAAGTGATGTTCCACCCCAATTTATTGTAGTTGCAGAAGAAATACACCATAAGAAAAAGAATGGTTCATAAGGCGGGCACAGAATCCGAAGTCAAGATTAAAGGCTGACTGCTCTGAAAATCTGCAGTATGATGCGTGTGCGTAACGGCCCTTCTTTTTCTCAAATACCCATTCTGAATAAGTGCCCTTTGTAACTTAAACATCCATATTTGAACACTAGTTGACTGAGGTCTTTTAACAGTGCTGTTGTATTGATCTCACTTTTCAGGAGGAAGTGGTTCCACAAAGTGTTGCATTAAATGCCATATTCCCATTACAATCCAGCAAAGACTATCCCTGCAGCAAAGGCACAAAGTGCATAGCTGACTCTTCTTGGATTTGGCACCTGAAAACTAGCCCAGGAAGCCTGCCTGCTTACTCCTGTCCCTTCCCTTCTTCCCATTCTCAGCAAGTTTTCATGTGATAAGAACAGCATTTCAGTCAGTTTCTGGTGGCTTGGGTCTGTGGCATTGTAACCGATTTCAGACAGCTTCCTGGTTTTCTGGCAGTTGCTGCTATTTCACCTTTGCACACCTATGACAGGGAAAATTATAAGCAAGCACTTGAAAGCCCCCCCCCCCCAATCTGCAGCTTAAAGTTTCACAACCAGCCCTTTTTGAATCGTTTTTTTGTTATTCCCACCATTTGGACTTTATTTTTTTTAAATAGTGCATGGCATACATTTTTCTTTTAAGTACACACTGCAAGCAAAATACACAAAAAGATTAGGAGCACATGCTTCTTCCTTCTCTCCTATTGTGATCAGATTTTGCATTAAACATGTCCTGATTTCAGTTCTTCAGTTTCTGATTTCAGTCAGCCATTTAAAAATATTGGGGGTGGATTTCATTGTAGGGCATTTTAAAATGGCTGTGCTACCAGGAGACATGAGGCATTATCAACTCTATCACCAACCCAGCCTCCGCCTCTGTGAGGTGTATCAACGGTGTCTTACCAGTCCACACTGGACAGACTAGCACTACAACCCCATTCAAAGACAAAAAATATAGCCACAAACCACTTCTGAAAAAAATAGGATGACAATGCAGAAAACAATGGACTGCAGTGATTTGACAACAGGATTATCAAGATTCTCTATAATAACTGCATGGGTGAATAATGGCTGTTCCAGATAAAATGGCCAGCATGGAAGCAACCTCAAATAAGAGGGATTTTCCCTGATAAACAGAACTCCAAGCACAGCTGTGTTCACAGAGTCTTGTCCCTTTCCCTAGATGAAAATATGATCAGGGTATATCTTCAATATTTGATCTGTACTTGAACAGTAACCATATTTCAGCATGACTGGCAAGAATCACATCAAACTGCCATAATGTCATTTATCATAGACTAAACCCAAAGCAACTGAGTAAAGCAGTGTCCCCCCCCACTCACTAACATTTGGAGTTAAGTGACATGCTACACAACTATTCTGAAGGGCCTTACAACTGTTACATTCAGGCTGCAATCTTTTAGGTACTTTTCTGTGAGTACGGCCCATTGAATAAAATAAGACTGAATTCTAAGTAGACCGGTTTAGGATTCTCTCAGTGTAGCAAAAGCAAAGACTCTCCTTCCACTATTCAGTAATGGCAGGATGTTTCATTGGACGATTAATCTCTACTCAGCAAGATTATTAAATTACTATTACTGGCTGTGATTCACCTTTAGATGTGAGCACCTAGGCACCTTGATTTGTTTTATTTCAGAAGTTTCATCTGCTATGGGAACACTATGCATGAAATTCCCAAAGGAGTTCATCAGGATTTATAGGAGCTGCTTTTGGAGTGCCGGGGGTGTGTAGATGACTTAAATTGCTTTAACCATTCGGGCACTACCACATGGCCCTTTGGACTGTAGCCATGAATGACTTGTATTCATAAATGTTATTGAACCAGATCTACAATTCACACATCTTTGGCAAAAACATTAATTTTTAATATCTGGTAGGCAAATTAGAGGGAAATTTTTAGAGAGGAAAAAATTGGCCTCAACAGCAATGTTTAACTAAACAAGAGACAGTCATTTAGATTTCTCTCCCCTTGTATGAAATGCTGGAAAATGTAATTTGCCTCCTGTGACCCTGGCGCATTTGTCACTCCTGTTACATAAGAGATGTAGCAAATAACATTCAGAAGTTTTCTACTTCAGAACCAAGTACTACTTTGGTCTTTTGGATGCTTACCCCATTCTTATCAAAAGCTCTGAACATGTTCTCCACATACTTCTCAGCCTCCTGATCGTTGTTTACTCCAAAGAAGCGTTTGAATTCATGCATGAAGAGTGTCCCACTCGGACACTCCACAACAAACTTTTTATACCATTCTTGCAGTTCAGCCACATCAATCTCAGTTTGTTCTCCATCCTCATTAGTGAAGTGTTGTCCCATGCTTCCTTGGAAATCGGAGGAGACAGAATGAAGGTGTTTTTTTTTCTTGCAGCTTTGTATTTTCTTTCTTCTTAAATAACTTTTTCTTCTTTCAGTGAACAGCACACACTTATGCTGGGTTACTCCCCCTCCTCTTCCTGCCTTTTGGGCTGAGGCTTCTGCTTACCCTCCCAGTCTCATTCTCATACTAGTGCAACCCATAACGGATTCCCTGACTTAAACCAGCAAAGATTAAGAATAGTTAAGATCATTAGGAGATTCCCTTGTACACGTCACAGAGACTTTCAGATGTCTCAGAGGAATGCCTCACTGAAAAGTGCTCCTGAAGTGAGGTCAATGCAGTTTCTGATGTCAGTCCAAGAAACTGAGATCCCCTCTTAGGAGCTATCTGTAACTCTTTTCTCACTGATTCTGTGTCTGACCCATAATGGAATCCATGCCTTTTGTTCTAGGTTGCCATCAACAATACAAGTAAAAGGACCTCTTGTGACTGCCTTATTGCTTGTCACAAATCATGTGAGACAACAACTATAGGGCATGTAGCACAGAGGGCCAATATAAGAATAAATATTGTTCCCACCTATCACTAACACTGCTTTACCTAAAGGCCTTACAAACGCCCTTACAAGCACTCCACCTCAGTGCCAGACTGGATCCTTCACTTGGGGATACAAGACCAGAGTACTCCACATAGGCAAGCAAGGGAAGAGGCTTCTCTGTCTCAAACACTGACTGACGCACACACACACCCCCCACACACACACAACATGTACCTACTAATATTGACTCCACAGGTCTTCCTTCTTCAACATTTGCTATCTGCCTCCGTAACACAGGCATATGAGGTAACAGTGCTCAGTGCAAAAGGGGAGGGGCATCTTGGTGTTATGCTGGCAGTACTTCACCATGATGTCGGCACAATGTCAAGCTGGTGTAACCCTACATTCAAGTGCAGGGAGCACGACCATGTTCACATTCCAACCATTATTGCTCTTGGTCAATCACTCACAATCTTTTTTCCCTTGCAGGCTCACAGCCCCAAGAAGCAGCCCAAGCAGAAACTTCAGACAGAGTTCTGATGCAACTTCCCACAAGGGGTGGTTAACTTTTGGCCCAGTTACTACACTATTTTCTCCTGCAGGTTAACCCTAACCTGTTGGAAATGCCAAGAGTAAGTGAGGGAAGTATGGGAACTAGAACTTCTTACAGGTGCTGCCACTTTCCCAAATCTGTTGCTCACATTATGTGCAGAGCGCTCGAGCCTACATGCTCTTTTTTGCTACTACTGAATATTACTCATTACTGTCCATGTATCTCTATTGGTACGTAAGATTAAAAAATAGAAATTTACAATATTAGTCTGAAAGAACCCCAAGTATGCAACTATTTAATTTTAAAATCCATTATCATTATCATGCTGTGTTACCCAGGATCAAATCTGTACGTCTGAGTCAACTGGAAACAAATGACCTGTTGCTATAATGAGCACATTATACACAGACAGGATTCCATTCTAAGAGGATTGGAGTGCAGTTAGGAAAAAACAATAGAGTTACGTTGTAATTACAGAGAAGTGCTAAGGATTAAATGGGGTTGCTTTTGATTTGCAAGCAGGCCACTTCACAAAGACAAACTGATGGTAACAAAATTCTAGATATTATAAGCTACCCAATCATTGTCCAATCAGATCAAATTGCCGCCTAGTAGAGCTTTTCTGGATTGTTAGGAGGTTTTTATTTCAAGCCCCTGAGGATTTTGACCCAGCAAACACACAGGCCCACTGTGATTCCTTTACAATGCATTTTGCAGAAAAAGTTACTCACATCCACCATGAATTAGACTCTGCAGCTGGACTGGTTCAATCTCAGGATGTTATTGGAACATAGGTGCTTCGAAGTATGAGGCCCATTACATCTAGCCTTGACCCTTGTGGCTAACAGTATTATGCCAGGCTGGGTAGGTTGACTGGGTCTAGGAGGTAATAAAAGTCTCTCTATGGGAGTGTGTAGTTCTGACTGCTTTGAAAGAGGTAGTTATGAGACACCTCCTGAAAAAGGCATCCCTGGACCCAGATAACCTAAAAGATTATCAGCCAGTGGATAATATTCTATCCCCAGTCAAGGTGCTCAAGTGGGTGGTGCCTTTGCAACTTCAGGCACCCTTAGAGGAGATGGATTATCTAAACCCACTTCAGATTCAAGCCAGGTTCTTAGACAGAAACAGCCTTGGTCGCCCTGAATGATGACATTCACTGGGATAGTGAAAGGAGGGAGTGTGTCCCTGTTGATTCTCCTGGATCGCTGTCGCTTTCAGTAACATCAGTCATAGTATTCTTCTGGAGAGGCTGGCTGGGCTGGGAGGAACAGGCTCCATGCTTTAGCAGATCTGCTCTTACTCGATCAACCAATTCCAGCAGGCGGTGCTAGGGGATGGCTGCTTAGTCCCATGGCATTTTTACTATGGGGTCTGCAGGGTTCCATCTTATCCCCCATGCTATTTAACATCTACATGAAACTGCTGGGAGAGGTCATCCAGAGATTTGTAGTGACATGCCAGCAATATGCAAATGACACCCAGCTCTATTTCTTGTTAATAGCTAAGCCAAGTGGGTCTGTGGAAGTCATGAAAAGGTGCTCAATGATGGCAATGTGGTGAATGAGGACCAATAAAAGCTCAGTCCATACAAGACTGAGGTGCTGTTGGTCAATGGAGATGCTGCTCAGGGATGGTGCAGATAGCATGTCCTGGAGAAGACTGCACTCCCCCTCAAGGACCAATTTCATAGCTTGGGGTACTACTAGATCCTGGCACACAGTTGGAGGCTCAGGTCTTTTCCATAGCACATTGTACTTTTTATCAGCTGTGGCTGGTTCACCAATGTGACGTTCCTTCTCCACTCACACAGAGTGCTTACCATCCTTTAAAACCTCTCTCTCTCAGATGCAGGGTTACTAGCAGGTCAGAATGTTCCATAGAGTTTTTGTCCAAATACCAGAGCATCACCTGGAAGTCGGCCGGTGGGGAGGGCCTGCCGGCCGGGCCACTTCCCTGGCGCACCCCCACATCCCAAGACTGTCCACAGAACAAGTGGTAAGACTAACCCATTTCAGAATGCCTTCTGCCAGATTGGTAGGAACTCCGGGGGGGGGGGGGGGGGGGATACACAGCTGCAGAGTACATAGGACCAGAATGGAAAACATCCTTCCCACAATTGCTGGAATATATTCTACTTTGCATGCTGCTACCTCAGATGCAAGTGGAAGGAGTAACCTAGCCTGAATTCCCCCTTACACTGACAGAAAAAGAGATAGGGAGCACAATCTTCTGCAAATCAACACTATCCATGGACATGTTCCAAACATGTCCACACCACCCACTTCATTCAGAGAAGGGATTTTTAGGACAATTCCCAGAGAAGACAACATGCAAACCACTTCATTAAAATGAGTACTTCATACAGCCACTGACAGAGCTGTTTTTTTACTGTTTGTCCTCAAGTCTTGCCTGCAAGACCCACATGGCTTTTTACTAATAGCACAACATTGCTATTTTTAATACTAGCAAAACATTACTTACATTGTTTCTGAAATACATCACATATGGTTGCTTACTCAACAAACATTTTAAATTATCTCCGTCTCAGACTCTCACAGACCATTTAGGAGCTTGCATGAGATCCCAGTCTCTACAGCAACAAAAAATACTATTACTTTTTACTGTGCTTCATCACAACAAACGTTTGAGACAAAGTTTCCTTACAACTTTCAGGACAATCCTCTGCACACATTGCTGCAAGACGATTCAAACTCAATTCATTATGACTTACTCAGTCCTTACACTACCTTCCCTATTCTATTTTGCTCCGCTGATGCTGTAAAGGTATCCTATCTAGATACAGTCAGGGCCATCAAGTCACTTGCCTACATCATGTGTTACTCAGAGGATGTCCCAATCCACTGGCTGCCTAGCCTAAGTCCCCCACTTTCAGGACATGTCACACGCTCTAGCCCTACAACAGACACTGTCACGTAGGACTCTGAGCTTCAGAGCATGGATGCGGCTGCAGGTCAGGGGGGGTAAACCTGAACACTCAGGGACAAACACATAATCTCCCCCGCTCTGCACAATAACAACGGGAGGGGTAGCCCAAGGAAGCAAGGAAAAGCCAGACCTTAGGGTTGCCAACTTTCAAGGGATCCCCCAAAGATTGGGGATTCCATCTCCAAAGAGGGAGATTCGGCCAGAGGGGTCTCACTGTCCCTCTAAAATGGCAGTGACAATTCAGTGAGTGGTGGCAGCGCAATTAAGGAGTGAGAGACTCCCACGAGAGCTGAAGAGGTGGAAAGGTGGGTTGATGATTGGCTGGGAAGGAGATAGGGTTGCCAACTCCAGGTGGGAAATTCCTGGAGATTTGAGGGATGGAACCTGGACAGGGTGAGGTTTGAGGAGGGGTGGGACCTCAGACAGGTACAATGGCACGGACTCCACCCTCCACCCTGCCATAGACTCCACCAGCCATTTTTTCCTGGTGAAACATTGCTTTCAATCTCCAGCTGAGGGGTGGAGATCACTCAGAATTACTGATCTCCAGGAGGGAGGGCATAAGTTTGCTGTGGTCAGAGGGGCAGATAACAGTAGTATTGTGTAGTGGGTTAACCGCATGGCAAGGCCGCTGCGGTTCGTGTCTCATCCTGCATGCTTACTGCTACACAACAAAGACCAAGAGAAAACAGCCCGTGGGCCAACTATATACACATCTGGGAACACCCCCTAGGTCCCGTTGGTGGGTTTGAATCTCCCGCCAACATCCCATTGGTCCCTCGGTGGAGAGACCAGGAGCCTTGTCCCATTGTTCCTCCAGAGTCAAGCTCTGGGGTATTCGCTGACCTCTGGTGGCGGTCAGCGGACACAACAACTAGGTTGATAATTAGCTGGGAAGGGATGGGGTTGCCAACTCCAGCCTGGGA